GGATGCCTTGCAGGGTCCCAAAGACTCATTTCTGACAGAGTGTGGGGGAGAGAAAGAAAGACTGTTGCTGCTTTCCTTGTGTGCAGCCAAAAGCAGAAGAAGAAAGAAGCAGAAAGAAGCAGGCCAGTGATCAGCCATGGGGCGTGGAGTGAGTGGGGCAAGTTCTCCCCACTCTGCCCTTTCCCCCCTCCCCTCACCATCTCGTGTTGTTCACAATACAAGTGACGCAAGCCTTGTGTTCCCGCACAGCCTGGATTAATTGCTTTGGGGGTGGCATTTCTCTGTGGACCACTAAAACTTTCTCACGGACCACCAGTGGTCCGCAGACCACCAGTTGGCAACCACTATTCTAAAGTGTTGGCAATTCCTGCCAGATTGGTATCATCTGCAAGTTTGATGAGTTTATCTTCTATCCCCTCATCTAGATCATTTATAAAATTGTTGAAGAGAACTGGGGCTAAGACAGAACATTGAGTTACCCCAGTGTACACTTCCCTCCATGTAGCTGTAGTTTCCATTGAGGACTACATGTTGAAAGCAGAGATTGAAGATCACAGGTTCTGGAACAAGCAGCTCAAGAAAATAGTAGGGATAGATAATGTGGCCAATGTAAGAACGTAATGGCACCATTTCAACAGAGTAGGTGTTTTCAATGAGGAAGGATTTTCTTGGAGTGATAAATCACCCATTTTTTAAAATATGTTGTTCTTCCCCAAATAGTAGTGAGGTATTAGTTCTCCATTCCTCTACAACTGGTTTCTTAAATTCAGGAAACCTACATAATGCATGTACATAAAGGGCACAAACTATGCTATTCACAAACTAACCTATTGGACGGCTCACATCAATTAAAAAAACATTTTTGAGAAACTTCTTGGAACCATCCTTGTTCATTACAAAAAAAAAATACCTTTGGAAGGCCACAGTCACATTCTTCTCCCTCCTCCACAAATTCATTTCCGCACACTGGAGGTGAAATCACATCTTTGGTTGAGGGTCTGTTGATGATGCATTGTGGGGTTTCATTCATGATATAATTCTGATAAAACTGTAAACTGCAAGAACTGAACTCCTGGGGAGTTATATAGCTGTAAAGATGAACCAGTATGAGATCATGATCATTCATATGTGGATCAGGAATAGAATGCATGGCAAAAACAAATAAGACAGAAAAAAATTGGCTAATGAACAAAGCAGTGTTGTTTTTCTTTAAAGCTAACAAAATAATTATGAGAAATCTTTGTACCCTTTGATCTTATTATGCTCCCTCAGTTTTAATTCCACTAACATTTTTTCTTTTTTTTAACACAATGAATTTGCAATGAGAACTCCATGTGGTGTTAGTGCTTAAGCTATTTCTTGTGTTTGAGTAGTCCACCTTTTGTTTTCATTTTTAGTCAGTCTCTCTGTGGAAGGGGAGTCTGGAAATGATACAGTGACATTGTTGATGGGATGAAGAAGAGGTGGCAATAATATAATTGAAGGGAAAATAGTGAAATCTTGACCCTCTTTTTCTTTTCTTCTTTTGGAGAAGAAAGGCTTGTACTTTTTATTGCAAATGAATGTTTTAAGGCAACAGGAGAATTGATATACTTATTGGACTTCTGTTGCTGAAAAGGTCTTGCAACTTGCCATTGATCTTTGAAATTGCATATTTAAAAGGGAAGCCAACATGCTATCACCAAGTCCACCCAAGCCCCTTCCTAATGCAATTACAAATCATTAGGAATATAATTATTGGCCCTCAAATTAAGAGGGTGAAATTAAGAACCCAAAGATGATCTGCTGGTGGCCACTAAAGAGATAACGTGGTCTTCTTTGAAGATCAAAATTGCACCAGACCCATTAGGTGGGGTTTATTGAGCAAACTGTTCTCCAAGCATGGCCTTCTGTAAAAAATACCACAAAGTGGTTTTGAAGTATTAAGTAATTGTGACGCACAAAAATTCTTCAGTAAGGACAGGAAGGGTTAGTTAGCGTTCTCAATACTTCCTGAAGTCATAGCCATTGCATAAAATATGAGACAACAAAGTCCTAGAGCTTTGTCAGAAGAAACCAGAAATTTGACAACAGGTGGCATGTTCACTGAGGCTATAAAAATATTACACAAAAGGTAATTGGGTGTTTTGCAATACATAATTCCTGAGATCTTTCCTTTCCCTTTCTTTCCCTCCCTTCCCTTCCTTTCCTTTCCTTTCCTTTCCTTCCTTTCCTTTCCTTTCCTTTCCTTCCCTTCCTTTCATTTCCATTCCATTCCTCCATTTCCTTTTCCTAGGAAGTAGAGGCTAAACAAGGACTAGCAATATAATTGCAGTGGTGGGCTGCAACTGGTTTAACCAATGGTTTGGCGAACGCATGCATTGAGTGCTTAGTCCTCACACACAGCATTAAAAAAACTGCCTATTTTAAGCTTTAAAACTTACCTTCTATGTCAGCGCTGGTGAGTAAAACAGCTGAGGTGCAAATCAGCTGAGTTTAAAAAAAACACAACTGGGACCAGCCTTTCCATTAGTAAACAAGGCAGTTATTACGTGAACTGCACCATCATTAAGAAGTCAGGTTTCCTCCACTGTCTTATCAGAAGACAGTTGAAAAGGTCAGGAAATGGTAATCACAGGAACCCAGGGTTCTGCAACCATCGTCAATGCACGCTGGTTGCCATGCCCCTGAATTTTGATCATGTGAGGGGAGGCTGCTATGGTTGTAAGTGCAGTTGTAAGCCAGTTTTTTCAGTGCCTTCAAATGTAACTTCAAATGGTTGCTAAACAAATGGTTATAAGTTGATGGCTACCTGTACATTACTACCTGTTGATTTCAGCAGACTGCAATATATGGAAAATGTAACGTATCTTCCACCTTGATGAAGGGGCAAGGCAGGAAAACCCCAAGGACACTAATTAATCTTTTTCTTTCTTCTGTTGCCTAGTTCAGAATATTTTCCTCATTCTGCTTCCTTTTTTAGGAAAGTCTTTAGGAATAAGGAATAGCACTTAGACTTATATACCACTTCACAGTGCTTTCCAGCCCTATGTGGTTTACAGAGTCATTTTAACCACCTCGGAAGGGTGGAATGCTGAGTCAACCTTGAGCTATTGAGAATCAAACTGCTGGCAGCTGGCAGCCAACAGTCAGCAGAAGTAGCCGGCAGTACTGCACTCTAACCACTGTGCACTGTTTAATGTCTAACTTCGTTTCCTCTTTTATCCATCACAGATATTTCTTGGCCTATGTTGCCTAGGCTATTTCTTTACACTATTGTTAACTGCAACTGTTTGAAAATCGCTTGATCTGAAAGTCATTAAAAGCTTTCCTGATCCCTTACCCTTGCTTGTCAGCCATAATGCACGGGCCAGTCTTGCAGGTACACAAATCTGTGTCATGATTCATGCCAAAATTATGACCCAACTCATGGGCCATTGTTGCCCCCATAGCTATTGGGTCCGTACTGTGATCCTGAAAAGAAGAAAACACTTTGTCTATTGTTAGTCCTCCAAGAAACCAAAAGTGAATTCAATTATTACTAGCACTGAACTGAAACCTGGACCTTTGCTCCAGGACCTTCTAATGAAAAAATCAAAGAGTTAGAAAAAGAGATTAATAATTTTCAGAGCTGAAATAGGGTTTCCTACAAAAAGTAGTTTTCTTTCTTTAAAGTAACGAAGTGTACTAACAATTTTCAGTAGCTTAGAGCAGGGGTGAGATTCTACCGGTTTGGACTGGTTCAGATGAACTGGATGTTAACTTTGCATCTGGTTTGCTGAACCAGTATTTGAACTGACCAGATGGCCCCACCCACCCTGCCCCACCCCGCCCCTCCCAGTAGTCTCTACGTGGCCAATTTTTGATGCAGTTAATTGCAGGGTCTGCATGAAGGTTCTGGGAGGGGGAAAAACGGGCCTTCCGGAAGTCTGGAAATGGGCCTGTTTCCGGCTTCTCTTGGGCCTCCAGAGCCCGGGGGAGGCCTGAGAGGACCTGGGAAGGAGAAAAACGGGTCTCCCAGAAAAAATGGAAGTTGCAAAACGGGCCTGTTTCTGGCTTCCGGAGGGCCTCCAGAGCCTAGGGGAGGCCGTTTTCACCCTAGAGGCCTGAGGGAAGCCCCTCTAGACCTTTGAAAAGGCAAAAAACAGCCCTCCCGGAAGTTCCAGTAGGCCACACCCATGATGGCCATGCCCACCCCTGGCTTAGAGATGGTGCTTTCGCCACAATTATCTCACTGGAATGCTGTGATATTACAAAGAGGTTTTCTATTGTTTATTTGCGATTATTTACGATTCTTTTTATTAATTAAAAGTATTATTTATTTGTCCGTGTTAAAAAAAGTGAGGTGTAAATTGAAAGCTAGCTTCAAAGGGAGTGGAAGGAGTAAGAACCTTTCTCCAGACCATACTACTGTGTTTGCTTTTAATGTAGAAAAATACTAAGAAAGTATACTGTTTATGTGAAACCTGAAACTAAAGGATTACATCAGTAGTCCTCAACTTTGTAAACTTAATTGAACCTGTAAATTAGAGTTTGGAGATGTCAAATTAATAAATAAGGGTGGATGAAAATGATGTGGATCAAATATAAGAAGAGTCTTCTTGTATTTTATATTTTGGGAGTTTTATATTTTGAGATATTTTGGAGTTTTCAATGACCATAAACAAGTAACAGGTAGCTTTTCTACCCACCTGAATAATTGCTGTAGATGTCAAAGAATTGCACATGGTACCAACGTAAGCCAATCCTACAGTACTTCCAGTTAAGTCAATGTCCCTATAAGAAAGAAGAGGGGGATCAAATTTGTAGAAGATGGGAGCACATTTTGTAGTCTTGGAGATGTATAACCTCTTATGCCTTTCACAAACCCGATATCCTGTCCTCAGTTCCTGTCAGTTTTCAGGGTTAGAATTATGTAATAATTCATTTTAGACTCTGCTCACATAAGCCATTTAACTAAGCAGATCTATTAAACATATTCAGGATGAATTTTCGCAACAGGCTAAGCTTGGTTGGTATAAGCCTTCATTAAGTGAAGGAAAAGGGTTAGCATGTTGTGTGAATCCAGTCCATTTAGGTTAACTTAGATTCCATGTACTGTGAACACTGAAATGCAGATTTATTTAATAATTAGATTTCTCCTATCAGTTTAGCCATGGTGTTATTAAAAACTAAGTGAGCTTGGAAAAAGTGACTAAGTGTGGGGGATCAAATCAACATCTGTGGGAAAAATAAAATGGATTTTTTTCTATGTTTTATATTCTCCTTTTTTACTTTGATCTGCATTCCATCTAGCCCCAATATATTTTATAAGACCCATTTGTTATGCACAGATTCTGTAGGATTGCTCACAGCAGAGTTATAACTTATCCAATATATTGTAGATATAATCCAGTAAATTTGGCAATTTCTCACTCATAAAATTGTATGGCAATATATAGGCTGAATTCACACTGCATCTATAACCAGATCACATTAAGATCTAATCTAGATGACAGATTTATACATCCTGTCAAACTCAAGATTAGCTATTTTTATTTTATTATATTATGGGTTTATCTGTTGTGTAATGGAAGTATTCATTCAGTTGGGACAGAATGGAAACCAAAACATCATTTAATCAGATTAAAAATGCATGTGTAAGTACAACCAAAGCATAACAGGGTAATCAGTTCAGTTTCAATTTCAAATCCAGGTGAAATCAAATCAAGCTGCGTTTTTGACTGGCAATAATTCAAAGACTTCTTAAAACCAGCTCTCATGTACAAAAAAAAAAATATGTTGGCTTTGACCCAGAAATATAGTTCACAGAAGCTTTAAAGCGTGCAGCATAGAGTGGAAGTTCTGTGCAAGCACTAACTTTCCCATAATCCTCCACTCCCAGCCACCCCCATTCCCTTTTCCCACAATGAGACATACGTGAGTAACTGAGCATTATCATTCCTTTTGCGCTTCAGCAGAACTGACTGTCTCCATGACGAAAAGTGGTTCAAAGTGGCACCTGCTGTTTCACTGATCTCAATCTTATCTTCATCGGACCAAATTTCCAAGCCAATCAATGCTACATGAACCTTCAAAGGTTTGTAAACCTGTGTGGTGGATATGGCATCAATCAGAAACTCAAACATATATAAACCTTGAGAAACGTTTCTAGACTAAAAGGCAGCTGACATTAGTTTCTAAAGACAGGTGAAATGGAATAGATTTGGGATTCAATAGAAGAAAATCTGTAAAGATTTGAATTGTGGAGTCCTCAATGCTCTCTGAGCCTAGTGATTTGCTTATGGACATTTAGTCAGACTCAGACAGCACCAAGGACTCTACATAGAGAAGAAGAAGGATTGTTTTAATCAGCAGAAATAAATGTTAAAAAAGAAACAGGTGATTATTCCCTTTCATGAAGAACAGAAGTGGAGCAGCACTTTAAGGGAGATTTGACCCATCCGTCTTCCTGTCCTCTCCCTGATTCTAACTGATCATCAACAGTAAAGATGGTCAACAAGGTTAATAGATACAATATGTATAATAGTACAAGATGAGTGGATCTCCTTTTAAGTGCCACAATCCAATTCAAATTGGGTTCCTCCTGCTTTCTTCTAAGAGATCATGTTCTTAATCAGTTGACTTTAAAATGGGCTTATTAAGATCATCTCTTTCTAATCTCCAAGCAAAGCAGATTAACCACAGCCCTGAAAGAATCCAGCTACTGAAATGTATTACTGATTGAATTATTGCAACCGCTTTGAACTTTGTATTCACATAAGAGGCTTATTAACCTAGTTACTGAACTAACCCATTTTCTGAAATGGCCCTGCATACTGGATCACAACTTTACCAAATGACCCAGCTTTGCGGAACTCAAAACTGGAAAAGTTAACGTTCTTGGAGAAGTGCATCTCCTAGGTCTCTTTACCTGGTTGTTTATTGTGTGAACACAGTGAAAATCCAAGAGGTTAAAATCCAAAAAGTGAAATAACTTTTGTCATGTCTTCTTACCACATTTATAAAGTTGGCTATATCAAATACTCTCTTCCTTATAGTAGTGATGCTGCGGCTGTACTTCCTGAACTACAGAAAAGACAAAAAGGTTAAGAAGAGATAATAATTGTTTTGGATGGACTGGAGCAGAGAGAGAAAGAACATGTCAGGGAAAGGAAGAAACTTTTAAAAAATCATGGAATTTGCTAATTCAGACAAAAATAATAATTCTATATCCAAGGACTCCAATGAATTATTTTGTGCTGGTCATTTAGTTCTTAGTTTACTTTATTGTCATTGCATCTTGTACAACGAAATCAAACACCATCTTCAGTGCACATCATGACCATGAAAATAAACATAAATGCACATCCTTCACACTCCACACACTGAATTGAAAACCCTGACCCCACACCAACACTGTACTATATAGTAGAATTCAACAGAGCTACTGTCCTGGGATAGAAGCTGTTTTTCAGCCTATTTGTCCTGTACCGTCTGCCAAATGGTAATAGTTAAAAAAAAAAAAAGGGTGCCCAGGTTTAGATGGATCTTTGAGAATGTTTTGAACTTTCTTAAGGCAGCGGGAGCTATAAAGCTCTTCCAAAGAGGGGAGAGGACAACCAATGATCCTCTGGGCAATGACGTTAACCCTCTGGAGTGCTGTCCTATCTGCCACTTTGCAATTGGCAAACTACACACAGGTGCAGTAAGTTAAGATACTCTCTATGGTGCAGCGGTAGAAGGTCACCAGCAGTTTTCCATTCAGTTGTTGATTTCTGAGAAGTCTCAGCTAGTATAATCTCTGCTGGGCCCTTTTCACCCTTTTAACTCTACACGTGAATCTGCATTAATATATTAACATTATTATTATTTTTTCAGTAGCACACATGGGTTTTGCTCCTGATTGGAGAAAATTTTGGTCAGCCTACTGAAAACCTTTTCCTTAATTGGACACTATATTTCCCTGTTCAGAGCAGTGTGAGAAAAGCATTCTTCACTACAAACTGGATTTAAATTCCACCAGCCCAAGACCAATTTCCCTGAAAATTTTTTGCATAAGACGTTCTCTTCTGCAATAGTATTAAAAGGGGAAGCTCAGACTGGTATCTGGAAATTCACTGAGTTCATGAACATAGTTAATTTTACTGGAGGGAAATGTGCACATATTCAGAGAGTTCAAATTCCCCCAAGAGTTATTTTACTGCAAATGCTATATTATTGCAAATGAGATTGGCTAAGTCAAAATGTGGATCTTATTTCTCTATTAGCCAAAGGTCAGCTTCTATTTGAGCTAGTGCTGGTGGAGAAATATATTTAATCTGAATGATAGTATGAAAATTAACAGTACATAATTTTGACCTTTTGAACCAATTTATTAATTGAAATTCATACTTGCACAAGCACACATAAGGAGAATATCAATTTCAAATCAGATATTCATAAAAAATAAAAATATTTTTCCTGCTAGGGAAAGTTATCTTCAAAAACCAAGCAAAAGTGTAAAATAAAAAAAAAATATGCTGGGAAACATAGAAGCCAAAGTGTATTCATATTTCAATACAATTTAAAAAGCAACTTAAATGTAACGGTTCTGAAATAAATAAAAAAATAAGGGAAAGCAAAACAACCAGAGATGCCCACCAACAAAACCAATTCAAAATTCTCTTCATGAATTTTTCTCTGGATTTTGGAATGCTAGATTTCCCAGGTAGAAGAAATGGATGATGATTCTCTCTTTTACTCTTTTTTTTCTGTTTCAAAATTTCATTTATGTTCTCCATCTTAACTTCAGCTTCCTGATCTTGGCATTTCTGGATAAACAATCATTAAAATTTAGATAAAGTCTAGGAACAGCTTAGTACAAATCAGGCAATAATTGAATTTCAAATGTGCCTTAACTTTGTACATAGGGATCGGGTCCAATAACAAAAAACAAAAATTATCGAAGTATATTTTAACACATATTTTAGGAACAAATCTAGTTAGAGTGTTGTATTTGGTAATGCCTTCAAAACACCCACATTGAAAACAAAATTGTGTGCTCAATACAGAAAGAAAATTGGTATCCAGAATACTTACCATTCTGTTGTCTGCAACTACGTAAAACTCAACATATTTTTTGGCCTGCAAGTATTCCTTTTTCTAAACAGAACATTAAACAAAATATTGTTTAGACATGTTGCTTCCTGCAGTCAACAGAAATGTTGCATCCTCAGATAACCTTGTTATCCTCCCTGGACAAAGTACATGACCTTTCAGAAATATTGGCTCTTTGAAGAAGACATGTATAGTGAGAGAGATTGTTAAAACTTCAGCATTTTAGAATGTGCTGAGAAATTTCTCAGGTGGAGAACATTATGCAATGATTGACCAGATTCACTTCATCAGTTTTGATTCAATCCTTGCTTCAATCCAACTTGATGGTTCAAATCAAATTGGAAAATTGAATCAAGATTATGTAATGGTCTTATTAGACATCACAAAGCACTTCGATTTGATATTTCAAACCAGTTTCTCCCTCTATCCCCTATGCATGCATAATAAAAGAGGCCTCCAATTGATAATTCAATTAAACTTATTTCTAAACTGATTCAGAAAGTTGAGACGATTTGGAGATTCAGTTGAACCTATTTTGAACCATTTCTCTAAATTAAGTTTGCATGAACATAGAAAATGTTGTAAACTGGAATATGTATTTTCTGTTCATTGAGTTTCCATATGTTCTTGTAGAGCATGGGTGGAATAGAATTTTAGTAATGAGGGAACCTATCTTCTGAATTCTTTTTAAGCAGTCCCAGAAATTTCTCTTTCACTTTACATTTTAGAAACAAGTAAATGAACCCCTGTTTTCAAACCATGTTATATGAACTTACTTCAATACTCATACTCATCCGGGAGGTCTTTTTGAAGGGGTCATCTGATTTCCAAGTAGTGTTGGTTACTCCACAGGTTTTGAACGTCTTGTCCTCTTTTTCCAGGCTTTCATATTTGAAGAGTGCATGGGCTTCACTGTTGGAAAGCTTCAAAGGTTCAATAAGATACCTCTCACCATAATTCTTGAAATACCCTCTGAAAAACAATTGTGGATTATTTTTGAAAATTAGGATTAGAGCTGGAAATCCCATAGAAAAGAATATTTGGAGCTCAGGGTTCAACTGTGGGGTTCTTGGTGCTCCCTAAATTTGATTGTTTTCCTGAAAACATTTTATTGCTCAACTAGTAACATCATTAGTGGACTAGATGTTACCTGGTTGGGTAATGAAACATCTGCAAGAAAACAATTAAGCTCAGAGAGTACAGAGGATTCCATGATGAATAACCAGTTTTAACTAACAAAGTCAACATAAATTTGTGAATCTCTCTTTAAAATAAACTGAATTTTATTTTCTTTCCCTAGCTCACATATCACTTTCTCCTGCTTCTCAAAGACACAGCTAAGCTCACAAAAAAATATAAGATATTGCACATTCTCAGTACAATGATGAATTAGCTATACAATTGTCAGCTATACAATATTTGAATGGATGTAGTTTGTCATGGAATCCAATAATGTATAATTCCTAAATTATTGTTTAAAAAGTAGAGAATGTTTCTAGCTATGAAGATATAAGACTACACATGTTGGAAGATTCAGTTTTTGTGTATAAACATGTGTTTCATAGGGGTGAAATACTGTATATCTTATATATTTCCCTACTGTAGAGTCATTCAATCAAACCAATCTTTTGTTGCTCATAGATCAACACATAAAACACGAAAGTCACAATTAAGTAGGATGAAAGAGGAAAAATATAATTGTTCTAAAATATCTAAGAGAAAATAGAATAGTACTTGGTTGCAGAATAGTACTTGGTTGTGGTCAAGGAAACGAAATAAGATTGATCTGATAATAACAACTTAAGATAAAAGTCAGAACTATCAGGATATTTAGTAAAGAGCTGACATAATACCCTCAATGCAGAATTATCATTTATTTGTTTGTTTGTTTGTTTGTTTGTTTATACTGCTGCCTATTCGCCCATGGCAACTCGAGGCAGCTAATAGAATGTCAAACCATATTTAAAATAAAAAACAATAAAAACTAATTAAAAAAATCGAATAAATTAATAAAGTACAATAGAACAAAATCTGGAAAAAAATAAATAAAAAATCATCCCCAACTCCCACCCACTGCCCCGACGACAGCAGATCACAGAAGCCATTTGATGGGCTCCATCCCTCTCTGGGTTCCCCCGGCCCGCTGGCAGAACCAGGTCTTCAGTGCCTTTCGGAAGAGTATTAGAGAGGGGCCCTTCTAATCTCTGTGGGAATGATGTTCCAGAGAGAGGGAGTCACCACAGAGAAGGCCCAACTTCTGGGTCCCACCAGGTGTATCTCCCTCAGGGGTGGGACCCGCAGCATTCCCTGCCTCTCCGCTCTGATGGGTCAGGTAGATGTGACTGTCAAGAGACATTCCCTCAGATAACCTGGTCCCAAGCCATGAAGGGCTTTAAAGATGATAACCAGCACCTTGAAGTGCACCCGGAAGCAAATTAGCAACCAATGCAGCTCCCGCATTGGTTGAAACATGTGCACACTAAGGTCTGCACAAAAGCATGCAGGTTGCTGCATTTTGCATCAACTGGAGCTTCCAGTGTCTTCCCTCAGTAACAGCTGTCAGGAGGACATTGAATTAGCCTTATGGTAATCTGACTCTTCTAATCTTTATACAGCTAAGATATCTGGTTGGTTGGAGAAAGTGTGCAGAATGGCTCAAGAAAGTGTTCCTAGTAGAACCAAAAGTCTGCTTGCCTCTTCCTAGCTACTTCCTATACTTCCTTCACAATCTGAAACCTACTTATCTTCTTTTCTTGTAACATCAACTCTTTTGTACAAAGACAACATGGTCTTTGAAGCTCATTTAAACAGAGATTTAGTTCTCTACTGTCTCTGTTGGCTGGCAGCAGCTCTTCTAGGTATCCAACCAAAATCTTCCTTAATTTTGCAGAAGTTTAGAAGTTAAACAACTAATTTGCATAGGAAACTGATGTGCCACTTTTTAACTATGACAGCTTCAAGAACAGTAATAATATTTTCTTTCTTATAAAATAAAGATAAAATAGTATCTTACTTCAAACCATGGCATGCATTAATGCTTGCAGTTGAGTCAGTATCATTCTGGATGTGGCCGTTATAATAACAGTGATCCTGTATGGAAGCAAGAAGACTACACTGGATTGGACTGTGATTTGTTAAGCAGGAATATGGTTCCCAACGTATAAGTGAAGTAATGTGTAAGACAGAAAACAATCCAGAATATTTTGATTGTGGGATACAAAATCTGTCTACTATTGATTGTTTCTTTTTTATTAGCTTACAAAATACAAAAATACAAAAGAAAATGGTAGAAAAGTAAGGGAAGGAGAACGTGTAGGGAAACAGGGGAAAAGAAAAAAAAGGGATTGACTCCTTTCAGTGCAGTAAAATAAGATTATTATCAGACCTCAACTTTTTACTTTTACATAACAGTATAAACTATCCATTTCTAAAACAACAAAGCTGTCTAATCAGTAAAGCCCAAAAGCAAAGTTTCACTTTTTTTTCACCTCAAGCACAAAGCCCAGAAGTGGTTTCCAAGTAGAAACAAAAGTAATGTGATATTTTTTTTTATCTTTAATCGAAGCAGTCAGTTTAGCCATCTCTGCTAACTCCATCAACTTTTGCAGCCATTCGTCCACTTTGCGAATCAGAGTAACTGGTTGTTTCAAAATGAGCCCCAAACCCTAAAACCAAGTTGCACCTGCACATATGTGCTCCGGAATTATTGAACTTTTCAACACAGCTTATATGGGAAAACTTAACCAAGGATATCCAAAGGATATTGCCAATAAGGACATATTGCTGGCACCATTGCAATACAAACCAAAAACAGGCAGAGCTTTGATGGCACCTTTGTGGCTGTTATCTTGATTTTTGTAAGCTGCACAGAGTCATTGCTTGAGATGGGTAGCTATAGAAATTGAATGACTAACTAAATCAATCAATCGACTTTTTAAATTCATCATCAGAATGTTTCTCACTCTGTTCTACTACTTATTGCAGAACTGGGGGATATGTGAGCCTCCAGATTTCATAAACTCTGACGCCATCATTCCTAGATGGGGAAATGTTTTTTCCTGGACTGAGGTCATTAAAAAAAATCTCAAAAATGTTCCCATACAAAGATGTTTAAAATGTTACCTAAAGATAGTTTGAAATTTACTAATGGGGAGGCTATAAATGGCTATGTAAAATACTGCAGCATTCCAAATGGCAGTGAAAGAGACAAATACATGAAAAACAACTAAAGGGAAATAATTTTTTAGATTGGCAGTCCTCAATGTACAATTTGTGTACAATTTGATGCACCAATGTGGCATTTTTCAAATCATCCAAATTGGTCATTAAGATCTCACTTTCCCTATTCAATAATTTCTTCCCAGCCAGATGCTCTTTCTCATGATTTGACTCAATACCAGTTCTGATTTTTTTTTTCCCTTATTTGGTGTATATGTTGGTAAAGTCATTGGCTGACTTAGCATTTTGGACAGTGGCTAAAAATAAAAAGCAGACTCTGAGCTTTTCTTGCTTAATTGACAGAAAGAATAATTTTAAATGAAGGTCACTGCTTAGTTATTTTCCTACCAGGCCCTATCCCCTGATGCAGGATTTTGTTGCTCAAAATTCTATGCTTCTTTTATCAGGCTTTTGTTGATAAGGGGGAAAGAGGGAAAGGTGTTAGAATATTTCTTTTTCTTTTTCACTTTGCTAGAAGATGCTATAAAATTTTTTGCCTTTAAATCATTCCATTCCAAAGAGCAAGACAAGCTCATTGAGTCTCTACTTAGGAATGTGTTGTGTATGTACCATATGCATAAATACACTGAGAAACAGCATTTATGTCCAAGCTCTCTCCAGCACCAAAACTCAAAGAAAGATACACCTTCACACTTCCAGATCCAAAACATCATTTGCAAATTGATAACTGACTACAGGAAGAGGCTTTCTGTACAAAACCACTGTCTCTTGCAGTATTTTGCAAGAGACAAAGAGTTACTCACTAGAATCTACCGTACAAACAAAAGGGAAGATGTTTTTCTGGATAAGTGAGATCTTAATAACCAATTTGGAAGATGTTTTTCTGGACAATATCAGGTCAGTACCAGCAATGTACTATCAGCTATAGCAAAACAAATGCTTTTAGAAAGCCCTCATGTGTTCTGACCCAAACCTGGGTCTAAGGAAGCAAACACGAGACAAAGGTAACAACACAACCTTTTAATGTTTCTTTACAAATCCTGTTCCTTCATGGGTAAAAGGCTGGTTCAAACCAATTAGCTCCGATAAGAAAGAGCCTTGCCAAGCTTTTGCAAGGCTGCCAAGAATACCAGATAAAGTTACTAAGCAATCATTCAAACACAAAGAGTCTCCAAACACCAACTCAGATATTCCTAATGTCCACCAAGGTTGAGTGCAAACCTTATTTGCCTTCTGCAAATAACTTCAGTTTCTCAGCTGGCTTTTATCTCCTCAGGGAGGGGCCATTACCTTGCAGCCTTACTCCCGAGTCGCCCAAGTCTTTCCTTCGAGCAGCCCTGCGCACATGCATGCTGGGCACAGGCTCCTTGGGGACCTCTTCATCGCTACTGCCGGCCTCCACCATCTCTGAAGGCAGCATTCAACTCCCTGATGGTCCTGGCCCCATCCCTGCATCACATGCAGGCCCCTCACCTGAGTCCTCACTCTCCAAGACCTCAGCCATCTGCACCTGCTGCCGGCGAACCACAACATTAGGTGGAACTGGAGAAACCCTCCACCAGCAGGGTCTCTCTAGCATCAGCTGTTCAATTGTAGGTTATTTTGGATCATCGAGATCTAATTTGCCTTATCTTACAAGTAAATGACCATCAGCTAATCACTGTACCACCACAGCACTTTTCCCATCATCGTTGAATTGATGCAACGCAATCTGTTATGATGTCTTAGTGGTTAAGATGCTGGGCATGTTAGCTGGAAAACAACAGCCCACAATCGAGATCCAAGTGCTGAGTTCCTGTCACTTGCCTCCTGCTCACCTAGCAGTTTGAAAGCATGCAAATACGAGTAGACAGATAGGTACTATTTTGATGGAAAGGCAACTGAACTGTGTGTCTGCTGCATGCTTTGTGCTGTAGCATGATAGCTCATCTTCAGACAGTCTCAATGGCTTGAAGAAACAGATATAAGCACAACCCTGTAAAGTTGGCTACAGTTACTGGAGTAAAACATACAGGGACTTTTCTTTAACTGTATCTTACACATAATTTAAATAAGATTTTTTTTTAAAAAAAAAAACTCACTCTCCAGTTTAATCTGTGCAGCGTTTAGGACGCCAAATATGTGTTTCCTCATTTTAAATTAAATCAGATTCTTTAGCTTAAATTGCAGCATTTTTTAATTCACATTTTGCTGCATAAGTACCAATCTTGTGCCATTTAGATGGCTTTTTCCATTTCCTTCTAAAGTTCTCTAGAAGTCTTTAAGAGAAGTGCCTTGTTTGAAACAGATATCATCAGGAAGAAGGGATAAAAATAGAACAATCTTTGAGTGTGTCAAAAAGGGGTGTGGGAAGAACTCCTTCAGACAGAAACTTAGAAAAGAAAGGAACTTGGTACAGTTTTATTGTCTTTTTAGTTAAATTAAATTTGTCACAGATCTGGAATTGTCTACAAAGCAATGACTTCTTTATATTGTTTTAATTAACATAGTCATAATTTGTATTATGGCCCAATGACTTTTTCTGTAGAAAATTTCAAAGGACACTTGAGGCAATGCTGGCTCAATTCTGGGAATTGAAGTCCAACACATCTCTTTAATTGATTAGTAACATTGAGATCTGTGTGTTTGGAGGGGGGAGAATCACCTGTGAGGTTTGGTTTGGAGTACAGACAGCAACACCTGTGTCCTTGTGATAAAGTTCCAAAGCTGAGATCTCTCAGAAAGCACAAAGCCACCCAGTCTCAAAAATAGATTAAATGTCCTCCCACAGAGATTGAAATTAAGGTGTACCAAAACCTGTGCTGATTATAAGTGAGATATGACCTTGCAAATACTGGTACTCAAATAGAACTGGCTTTGAACTGTTCTGAATTTAAGGAAGTGATTGTCTATAATAGAGAAAAATAATCACATGCAGTACACAAATGCCAAAAGACATTGAATTTCAAACAAATGCATTTTACAAATAATAACTCTTGGTTATTTGGAAGTACAGAATATCACTGCAGGAGGAACCCCATGGATGAAAAAAGCTAGGAGCCTTTGGGCAGACAATCAACAAAGGAATATAAAATGTGTTCTTCAAGTTACAAGACCTTTTCTTCACCAACTTAGCCTTCTTGGAGGTCAACTCTACGACTGTACCACAGGATTTAAGACTTGCTCATTGTCCTATGTTCTAAAATCTTTTCATAATGTAGGGGGGAAACCCATACTTACTTATTATATCAATTACACGGTTATTTCCTTGAGCCCACATAATGAAAGCTTTGAGAAACACATCAGAGATATAAATACACAATATTAACACTATATTAAAAAGTCCTATATGACCTGGAAGACTCCAACTGGTGTTGTATTTTTAATTCCTAGAATCTTCTGGAGCAGAATCCATATAGACATCAAATTATCAAAATAGATTTCTTTTACACATTAATTAAGAACAATTTGTATGACCTTTGAAGATGCTAACCCAGGAGTAGATATTTTTGGGAGACAAAGGGTACACTTTTGGATGGATAGGGGGGGGGGGCAAAGGAAGAAAGTTAGTGCTGTGATATTATAACAGGCTCTGGTCCATTTTAGTGTGAGGAACATAGAATGGGTTTCTATATTCTGTAGAAGCAAAGTGAATTATTCTTATTTTTGGTGTTCCAAACAAACGTTTTTGCATTTACCAGTGTAATCGGGTTTAAAAAGCAAAGTGGATCCTATAAATCTGATATTCTTTTAATAAACCTATTTGTGGGGCTCACTCCCCCAAATGTTTGCTTTTAATCAGTAGGAAAGAATTGGTTGATTGAAAAATAGCCCTATTAATTCAATCAGTAGAGCAGACTGGGTTTTAACAACCCACACATTGTTATACAGAGCATGCTCAACATAACAGCCCTTCTTGTTTGAATAGCCAGGTCTGGTATGTGCATGTTTGGAATATTGTGCACAAATAACCTTCTCCATTTATTTCATAAAAGTAAGATGCTCTGGATATTACCTCAACTGGAGGGCTTGTTGTAATTTCTCTGCCATCTGGGGAATAATAAGTCTCGCTGTAATCTTTTGAAAAAAGTTCCCTGGGAAGAATACAAAGAAGACATTATTTAGTCTTGGGAACAAAGATGATTGCATAATAAGTATACAACTACTGTATACTGGCATTTTAAGGATCTTGTTTGGCATCAAAGGGAAGGAGCAGGTATTTCAATCTCATCGGGATTGCCATTTAAGAGGAGTGCAGAGCACACTGGATTCACCTTAGCAAAGAGCTTTGCACTAAGAAAACTCTGCAAGTCTCTTCATCAAGGCTCAGAGGAGGTACGATTTACCAGGATAAGACATTTTGCATTGCTTCTTCTTTGATTCTTCTGACCAAAATAACAACCTGATGAAGCTGCTAAGGTCTGCAAAGGAGAACAATTTAGCTCCTTTTATTCCAGAGTAAAAGGGTTCAATATTGTTTCATGAAGCAACTTCAAGGGAATGAATACATTGAACCTTCACTCAGAAGCATCTCTCTCACAGCCCTAAATCAACACAATGGAGTTAACTTTCTTCTCCTGCTGGTTAAGCAGACATATTCATGCACTTTTCTTGGCATTGCCTTCCATTTTTCTAGGTGTTCCAACATACACCTGGTATTTATTGCTGGCCTCCTACCTTTAGCCCTGTTTTGCTCCAAGCCCAAACAAGGTAATCCAGATCCGGAGAAGTCCCATGGGATGCTTAGATCTGGCCCATGGGGCCACCCTGGAAATAGCAAAGGACTGGCCTGTGGGGCCTCTGCCAGCGAAAACAGAGCTAGGGAGAGCCACGTGCAGCTCTCCTGAGCTCTGTTTTTGCCTGCAGAGGGCTGCAGGAGGCCGTTGCAGCCAAAAACGAAGGCTGGGAGGGCTGCTCTGTTTTCGCTGGCAGGGAGCTACAGGAGGCTGTCATGGCCCTCTGGGGTTCCATTTTTGCTGACACAGGTGCCCCTGACATGAGTGACATTGAGCTGGTCACGCCTGCCCTGGCCACACACCCCAACCCCCCTGAGGTCAAACACAACCCTGATGCGGCCCACAATGAAATTGGGTTTGACACCCCTGATCAAGATGCTACCCTGAAGTTAGACGCAGCCTGCATGGTTAGACAATAGGAAAAGGTAACGTGATAATTTCTAAAAAACACATCATCTAATTTAACACGAAATGTCTCAACAGTATAAGATAAAGTGACACGCACATGGGGCACATTTCTTTACCGTTCATCCTTAATAATTAGATTAATATACATTTCGAGGGCACGTATAACAACATGGTCGATAGAAAAATATATTCTAAAATCAAAAGCGGGAAATCATTCCCAAAGCATTCAGTATGTATCTGGGTCTTAATGTTAATATTAAATTGCATCAGGGCTTCAGGTATTCTAAATAATTGTTCTCATGTTTTCCATGCAGTGGCTGCTACACTAATTTCAACTTTGATGTGACATTCACCGGATTTCAGGCAATGAAAATGGCACACCTCCTTTTAGCAGTAGAAGTAGTTTACTTACAAGGGAGAAATATTTATTTATTTGTTTGTTTGTTTGTTTATTTGTTTGTTTATTTATTTGTCAAAAGCTTACAATATAACAAGAATAAACATAAGTTTCAATACAAGAAATAGGAACTAATAATTGGGGACAATAGGATAGGGATGATAGGCACGATCGTGTGCTTATGCATGCCCCTTACAGACCTCTTAGGAATGGGGTGAGGTCGATAGAAGTTAGTTTGAGGGTAAAGGAGTGGGGGCTTGAGCAGGTGACAACAGAATCAGGTAGTGAGTTCCAGACGTTGACCACTCTGTAGCTGAAATCGTACTTCCTGCAATCGAGTTTGGAGTGGTTTACATTAAGTTAATATCTGTTGTGCGCTCTTGTGTTGTTGTTGTTAAAGCTGAAATATTCATTAACTGGTAAGATGTTGTAACATATGATTTTATGTACTATGCTTAAGTCCAATCTTAGCTGGCGTAGTTCAAGGTTGTTTAGGCCTAGAATATCAAGCCTGGTGGTGTGGGGTATTCTGTTGTGAACAGAGGAATGTAGTACTCTTCTGGTAAAATACTTCTGGACTCGCTGAATTGTATTTATGTCTGATATACAGTGCGGATTCCAGACAGCAGAGCTGAATTCAAGTATTGATCTAGCAAAGGATTTGAATGCCCTAGTTAGCAAAACAGTACTACCAGAGGAGAAGCTTCATAAAATTAAATTTACAATTCTTAAAGCCTTTTTGGCAATACTGTTGCAGTGAAAAATAATTTCAGTCCTTGTCTATTCCCCCTATCAAAACAAAGCTGCTAATAAAAATGCAGTGGCCTGGCTAGACAAGTCAATGAAAGACCCAAAACCTGTTCCACTAGTTAGTTATTATGCAGATATACGCCAGGTGGCAAATCTACTTATTATTATCTTTATAACTATCTTGATTTACAGTTCAAATGGAGAACTGCTGAGAGGAATGAAATGGCATTCTTAACACACACAAAAAATAGGCTGTGTTGAAATCTGGACTTGTTTAGGACATGTCCCCTTTCATACCTCAATAGGACATGACATTTCATGACATTCATGCTTCAACATGTAAATTCTGATGAAAATTGAGCAGTTATGAGCCGTGATGGTGCAGTGGTTAGAATGCAATACTACAAGGCTACTTCTGCTGGGTGCTGGCTGCAGTTTGGCAGTTCAATTCTCATCAGCTCAAGATTGACTCAGACTTCCATCCTTCCAAGGTTGGTGAAATGAGGAGCCAGATTGTTGGGGGCAATAGGCTGACTCTGTAAACCACTTAGAGAGGGCTGTAAAAGCACTGTGAAGTGGTGTATAAGTCTAAGTGCTATTGCTATGTAAGGCTCTTAGGAAAAGTGATACAGATTGATGAGGTGTCTCTGGAGCAGGATAAATGTGTAACCAATGATTTTTAAATTTCTAATATTTCATAACTAACCTAGGTAATTCAAGGGACTGAAGTTTATGAGCCTTGAGTGATTCAATTTTATTTAGAATTGTTATGGTCCATCAGTGTACCATAGAAAGCAGGAAAAATAAATTCTGGGGTAAGACAATTAACATGTTCACTAATTATATCCCCTTCTCCTTTACAATAATTATATTTAATTTAACTCAATTAGCTAATTTAATTTAGTTTTAATTTCCCAAACAAATACAATTTAATTTATCTTGGATTGTGTCCAAGAATATAATTTTTTTCACATCATCTTAGAAAAGTTAAAGGAACTTCTGAGTTAACTTACTTATTTTTTTCTAGGTGAAGGACCACTGTCTCTCCATTCACTTTAAATTCATATTGCATGGTATCATCATACTTAGTCTGAAATGCAGAGTTCAGTATTTATTTAGAGAAACAACAGATGGTATTCTTTAAAAAATATGCAAATAAAATGTATGTATTCTTAACAACTCAGCACCAGTGTCAAATGGAAAGTTGCAGCAAATTCATTTATTACATATGGATTATTTCATCTGTGATGCTTGAGAGCCACTGTAAGATCTTCTTAAATTAAACTTTCTCCAGAAGTTCAAGGTTTTCTTCTCCAATTCAACATCTGGGTGAATGAGGTTGTTTTGGGACACAGTGACTGACTCAAAATTTATCCCATGAGCTTTTCTATGTCTGAGGATGGTTTTAACCTCTGGTTTTAACCTCACTATGCCTTTTTCATCTACAAATACAACTTTTATATTTAAAGTGATGCATTTTGGGAAGCCAGAAAGTATAATATTTTGTTAAACATTAGGAGGCTGTATATAAGTCTAAGTGCTATGGCTATTGCTATTTTCATATTGCTTGCTTCACAGTTGTCACAGTTACCCATCATCTTTGATCCAAGACCGTAAAAAGGAATGTCAAAGTCAAGTATTAACAGTAGCTGTATTAACAATATTAACTTATTAACATGCTGAAATTTGAAGGTTGTAAGATACCTAGAGTCTCCTCAATTGTGTTGAATTGGGTGGCCATATAAATTTGTTTAATAATAAATCATTAATTACCCATGCAGTTGCATAGATTGCAATGCAAAAATCCAGATAAGCAGATGGCAATTCTAGCTGGCAGCAAAAGGATACCAAAAGTTATGTTGGCTGACAACAGAGTAATTAGCCAGACCCAATAATCCTGAGTAATAGGATTTTTCGCTCCCATGAAATATTAGGTCTGTATAAGTTTCACTGAAACCATGTCAAGTGTGTCAAATCTTCATATAAGGGTGCAAAGATTGTCTCAGATTTCTGCAATTTGACAGATTTTTAATCAAGGTGAACCAGACCTTTGAAAGTTTGTAGTCTTATGAGATTTATGGTATGTCTATCTAAAAGGAGGAAACCATTCTTTACTTGCAGCTGTCTATGAAAATCCATCTATGCAAATATTATTCAAACTATTATTCAAAGGTCTCTAGGATCCTAGACAGGAGTGGGATTCTACAGGTTCGCATCTATTCTCTAGAACCAGTTGTTAACATTCTAAGCAGTTTGGAGAACCGGTTGTTAGAAGAAATTACTGGCCTAATCCTGTAAGGAAGGCAGGAAGGAAACATTCTGGTGTTGCTTACAGAAACTGCCTCTCTGTTAACCCTTATTACGTTCTTGGCAGGAGTAGACTTCCTGTCTCAGGAACATCTCTAGAATTTTTTTCCCCTCCTTTGCTGGTACTTTGCTTGTGTGGAGTGACCATTCAAAGTTACAATGGCACTGAAAAAAGTGACTTATGATCATTTTTCACACTTACGACTGTTGCAGCATCCCCACCGTCATGAGAGGCCAGGCGAGGAGATGCGTGCCTCGATGTGAGTAATGTTGAGTTGGCCACGCCCAGCCAGTCATATGACCACCAAGCCATGCCCACCACCTAAGCCACACCCACAGAACCAGTTGTTAAAAAATTTGAATCCCACCACTGATCCTAGACAATACCAGATCCAACCTAAAAATGAAACAGGTGATAGGTTCCAAATTATAACCTCCCTCCCATCATCATTTTTCATATTCTATGAACTCTAACAAATATGTGACTTTATAACCATAAAGCAGAACAAAGTAAACTTTAAAAATGAACAATAAAAATAGTTGAGACATTGCCCTAAGAACCAGACTGCAAAATTTTGAAAGAAGTGTAAGTTTAACTTGGGTTCACATGAATCTTGAGCAAAAAGGAGGGTCAGATTCATCAATAAATAAGTTGATGGAAAGCAAATCTTTTTTCTTACTTTTTGGTCAGGCTTCTGAGACTCTCCTGCGTCTCTTTTGTGCAATGCATGAACTTTCTGTGGATACACTACTTCATAATCCTTAACCTTCCGGGACTCCTTTGTACAGCTCGCTTCACAAAGAAAAGAAAAGAACAGTTCACTTTGGTATGTTATTCTACCCTTTTCACATCTACAACACAATTTGTTATTCGGTTACCAATGGAGAATGAAAATAGTGGAAAACCACTTCCATTTTGCAGTCAAACAAACTACATGACCATCGCCATGTAATTACCAGAAGCTGATTAAACTCTAAGATTGTTTCTCCTACAGTAGATGTTGCAACTGGGAGACTGGCAAAGGGATTTATTTATTTATGTTTTAATCCAGCCTTTCCATCGTGTTGTAAGCATCTAATTAGTCCAGTACTCATTATAAAAAAGGATAACAATAATTATAATTGTAAATTGCAAGTGAAAACAAAACAGTAAAGTAAAATAGGAACAGCCACCCAGTAGGGGGAAAAACTTGATATCCAAACACCTACAAAAGTGAGACAGTTTTTATCATCTGCTTCCGTGCAAAAGAGAGAGGGACAGAGAGAGGAAGAGAGATTTCTTAAAGTAGAGAGGGACTGAAGTCTAAGCATTTGGCCATGGAAATGAATCTCCTGAGACTGATTGACATCTTCGAAAGATAACCCCAGGCAAAAGATTACATTTTCCTCATACTTTTATGTCCCTGATGCTGCCAGAAACCTGGGAGGGGTGTGATTGCTTGCCCAACTGACAAGAAAGGTTACTATTCTCTACTATTCTCTCCTGCTTAGAGCACAGAAAAAGCAGCAATTCTTCTTTACCATATTGTTCTCTACCAATTACTGTTCTAATTTTGGAACTTGACTCCTGGTAAGGGCAACCCAATCTTTCCTTGCTTAAAAAAAAAAACAAATCAGGGCTACTCCAATGAGCTTCTGGTTCTTAATTGTGTTTGGGAAGCCTCTGAATTAGTCGAGTATCATTATTTGTAATGATATGGGGGAAAGATCTGGGAGATAGGAGGAAGAGCCACAGGCAGGTCAGCTGGCTTGTTAAAAGGTATCTCAGCCCACAGAAGGAAGGAGAATGTGGGAAGCATTTCAGAAGGGATTGTGGGATTTTTGGAGAGTAAAAGCACAGGGGGGAGAAATAATTTCAGTCTCGCAAGATGCTGTTAATATGCCTTTACAGAGAACTAATATTCATGGTTGTGCTTGTAACCTAGACTACCTCAGAGGGCTAGCATTTTTTTAATTGCTTTATATTTTGAATTACTGCAGTAACACTGGGTAGCTAATAAAATACTGTAATGCTAAAGAAATAACTACATAACCAGCTTTCTTTCCTTCCATTCATCATTCTCCCTGTTCTAAGTAAAATGTAGATCAGAGGTCTCCAAACTTGACAACTTTAAGACTTGTGGACTTCAACTCCCAGATTTCCTCAGCCAGCTGGCTGGAGAATTCTTGGAGTTAAAGTCCACCAATCTTAAAGTTGTCAAGTTTGGAGACCTCTGATGTAGATGTTCCCAGAGCCCGAGGCTACTGAACAAACTGCTCTTCAACCCAGAAACTAGAAAGCTCCCTGCCTTCAGCTTTAAAAGTAAATAGACTGAGTCTCGAAGGGATAGGTGAGGGTTGGGCTGTGAATAAATGTAAGCACATTTATCAAGAACACAAAGTCAAGGATGAATCGGTCAGAGAGGGAATTATGAATCACTTGTACATAATAGAGAATTCTTATGTGCATTTGGAGTCTTTCGGTCTGGTTCAACATTTCTACAGTCCTCTTTTCTGGCCTAGAGTCTGAAGTAAGCTGATACATCCATTCTGAAAGTCCCTCCTGTAATTCCCCTCAGAGGATGTGTGGGATGAAGACTAGAATATTTCTCTACAATTAGGGATACTTCCCTAATACTAAAGGAAGGGAGTATCTGAGCAAAAAAATGAAATGTTCTAGCTCCTAATTTCTGATTCAGAGTAATTCTATACATACATACATGCATGCTCAGGACCTTGCCCTCTTGGACTTAAACATGGCCTTTCCAAATTCTTGATTGACCCTTATCTACTGTATCATACTGGTTATCTGCAAAAACTCAGGGTGTCATGTCATAACCTGTTGTGGATAATTGCCAACATTTTGTGGGCACATTCTCTTGGGGGCTTTTCTCCCACAAATACTATCATCTGTCTGTCTGTCTGTCTGTCTGTCTGTCTGTCTATCTATCTATCTATCTATCTATCTATCTATCTATCTATCTACTATCATCTTCATAAAACAAAAAATACAAATTCAAGCAAAACGAAAGAACTAAAATGTGACATGAATGATAGGCATATTAGTGCCCTTAGGCACCCCTCCTTAGAAACTTCTTAAAGATGGGATGAGGTCCACAGAAGTTAATTTGGAATTAAAACTCTGAAACTTAGTAGCTGAAACAACTGAATTGGGTAAGATATTCCAGATTTTGACAACTCTCTTATAAAATTTTATTTTTTTTACAACCAAGTTTAAAGCAGTTGTTCTCACATGTTACAATTTGTTGGAGGTTATGTAAGTGTACCAATATTGGACAGGAGGGACAAAGCCAAAAGCAAGAAGGGGTATTAGTCATTCTCCTTCTCTAATGTTCTCCTTCCTTGTTGCCTTCCCCCTCACATAGCAGGCTGCCAAAAAAGAGAAGGGGCGGCTTTTTGTCGGAGATCTAATCCCTCCCCAAAGGCCTCTGAAATTAATACAAATATGGCTGAAGAGCTATTTTAATCTGGAATCATCCCTTCAACAAAGCCTGTTTCACAAGGGTTGTTCTTTTCTCACAGGTCATGAGGGAACATGCCTTACAGGTAAAAGATCCTTTATCTGCTTGCTTCTTTGAAAACCACCTATATATTTATAACTCCTAAGCCCTAATGCCAGCCTGAAGCTATGAAACTTTAGTAATGGTGAATAATTGAGAGTGTTTTAAAAAAAAAATCCATGCAGACAACTTACACTGGAGCTTGAATAATAGCAAAGTAATTAGGGAGTAAATAGATCCATATTACAGGTCATTACATAGGAATGCTTGATAGCAATGGAGCAGGATATGCTGTATCTATAGTATCAAACCTACTTATCATGCTATGAGTGGTGGAAATAACTCAAAGGATGCCAAAGGTATCATCTCTGGTATGTCCAGGGATGTGCTGCTGGGGGTTCGTAGGGTTTGGGAGAGCTAAAATTCTGTGCAGTTTGGAGAACCCCCAAATCCCACTCCTGGCTGGCCCTGCCCACTACGCATCTCCCCTCCCAGGAGTCACCACACGGCCCATTTGGGATGGGCCCAAACCCTACAAACCCCCAGCAGCACATCCCTGGACATACCAGAGATAATACCTTTGGCATCCTTTGAGTGCAGGGTGTGCACAGAGGCTTGGGGAGGGTGAAAAACAGGCCTCCTGGAAGTTCAGGAAGGCCGCAAATAGGCCCTTTTCTGACCTCCAGAGAGCCTCCGGAGCCTGGGGAAGGCAAAAATGCTCCCCCCGCCACCATAGTGCAGGAGGCCGACTAGGCCACGCCCACCATGGTCACACCCACCCAGCAACTGGGCAGGGAACCCTTTGCTAAAATTTTTGAAGCCCACCCCTGGGTATGACCCTTTCAGAAGAACATAAACAAGCAAAACAAACTCAAAACTTGGTGAAGAGGATGATCAAGGGTGTCTAACAATCCCTCTAACAGAGGTGTATGTTCCCCTCCCCCACCAAGGGCCATATTTGATCTTTAGATACCCTACATGGTGTGTACTCCAAAAAGTGGATATGACCAATCCAAAAACTGGATAGCATTTAAATTAAACTTTAAATTTAAGGTTAAAGATTAGGTCTTCTACAGGCATATATTTTAAGGTTTGGCACACTAATTTCTTTTATTCTTTCTGCTGGCAAGCAGCCATTAGGTTACCTCATTAGAAGGAGTGGTAGAAATCAAAGCTCTCAACTCCAGAATGCTTTGATTACATGAAGTCATGCTTAACTTTTCATAAGAAAAATTGATGTGAGGAACCAGTGAGCTGACTTCAAATGGGGTTTCACACAAAGAATGATTTGGCCTGAAATAACACTGTGTCTCCTTCCCCGTGTGGAATCATTGATTTATCTGGTTAGGATTTTAAGTAGACAGTTTGCTATTTTATTCAAAACATTTCTAATTAGAAACTTCTGATTAGAAGAACCTGTAAGGAAGCAACGGCTTCTTTATCTGACCATATACAGTAGGATTTCCCAACCTTGGCAATTTCCAGATACATGGACTTCAATTCCTAAAAGTCCACAGCCAGCATAGCCATTTATCAGAATTCTGGGGGCTGAAGTCCACTCACCTTCAATTTGTCAAAGATGAAGAATCACTGATCTATATCTAGGTATCTAATGGTCCAATGGACATTCCCAGGAGCAACACAGTTTGATCTATAAAAGTTCTTCACCAGATACCATGTTCTATAGCAAGGGTGTCAAACTCGATTTCACTGAGGGCAAAATCAGGATTGTGTTCGACCTCGGGGGACTGGGGTGGGTGTGGCCAGGGTGGGCATAGCCAGCTCAATGTCAACAGCTCTCCTGGGCTCTGTTTTCAGCCATGATGGTCTCCTGCAGCACGCTTCCAGAGAAAACAGAGCTTGGGACTGCTGCACACGGCCCTCCCAAACTTCTTTTTCACTAGAAGATGCGCCGTGTGGCGGTCCTTCACTGTTTCCAGGCTGGGCCCGCAGGCCAGATCTAAGCACAGGCCTTGAGTTTGACACCCCCGTTCTATAGAAATGAATTAGAAGTACAACTTAAAAGATCAGGAGATACTGTACATGCTCTATTTATCTCTATTTGAGCAGGTATCTGGTCAGATCTGTCAGCATTGTCCTGTGGTCGATCTGCTAGAAGTGAGCCATCTACCTTTTACAAATGTTACTTTTTAAGGAATCGGGTGTTTTCAAATAATTACTTTGTGTTCCCTGACTATAATTGATTTTATATCGGTAAGTAAATACAAACGAGTTTCCGCGTGGGTGTTCAGAATCTATTTTGGATAATTATTAAAAGCAAATTATTCATCAGAAACTTGGGGAACAAAACATGCCACCAGCTAACACAAGACTTCATCTGTGAAGCAAGCAGAGTGTTGGCTGTTTCAGTCAGGGTTATGTAATGAGTTTGGCAAAGGAAATATCCCTCTCACTTCCAGGTTATTGAAATGTTGATGTGTGTTGCTGCTACTCTAGCTGCTGGATTGAATCCTGAAGACAGAGATTATTCCATGTTTACAGATTTGCCTCTTTTCCGTTTTTCGTTCCCCCTCTAAATTTGCTTACATTGATCAATGTTTCTCATCCTTGGTGGCTTTAAGATATGTGGACTTCATCTCCCGGAATTCTTGAGTTGAAGTTCAACTTCTGGGAATTGAAGTCGACAGATCTTAAAGACACCAAGGTTGAAAAACCCTGATACAGACAATAAAACAATGTGAGTTGTGATGGAACTGGATTGTTTTTTGGTTTACAATACACAACCATATGGAAGTGTTCAATGCAATTGCTTCTCAACATACACTTACTTAGACAATATCAGTCTTCAGATGGCCTTTATGTTTGACCAATATGCTTTAACATGTAAAGACTCTATGAACAATCACCTAATTGATGTATTGCTAATGTAAGTTGCTCAAGAACCTTTTTTTTAAGGAAACTTTCCTGTTTTTCTCCTTTTATATGTCAGTTTCACTGATGCAAGGTTTTTAAATATAAACTTTCTCTTCTTAAAAAAAAACAACAACGCTGCAATTTGCCCAGAATGTTGAATATCCTTGTCTTAGAACCATTCATTTAGCAACTGTTTAAATTTACAGTGGTGCTGAAAAAAATGATCTATGACCAATCCTTGCACTTACAACTATCACAGTGTCCCTGCAGTCATGTGATCACAATCACATGAGAAACCTTTACCTTTAAAGGAATTGGAGATGGGGAGGGGGAAAGGTAGCGTGTGAGATATTGAGTTTGGAAGAGGAAGAAGTAAGTTGGTGTCACAACCTCCAGTTAACCACGCTTGCTCTATTGCAAATAGCAAGATTGGAGAAGGAGGTGGAAGAGACTGAAAAGCATCTCCTTCCATGCCACAGTGCTGATTATGGTTGCTTAGATCCAAGCATGAATATTACACAGCAAGTTTAGTCCAGCTTTCCTGTTCCCATCAGATTTCACAAAGCTACCCATCTCTGCCTCTATTTTTTTTTAAAAAGGCACAATCTTTTCTCCTTCCTGACTAATTCTATCCTGAATAGGAAAGAAGCACTAATGGAAGAATAATAAGATAGAGTAGAGATACCATTTTGGAGATTCAAATAGTCTTCAAGGAGTATGTAGTGCCCCATAAAGTGTGTTTTGCAGTAGTCCAATCAGGAAGTGACTAAGACATGAGTGAATGCAAGCACAGTGCCTGGCAGCCCAGGAATGGAAGTAACTGGTGCACAAATTTGCAGTTGTGCAAAGGTCTCCCTGGCCACAGCTGGTCTCCCTGGCCACAGCTGCCACCTGCTCTTTGAGTAGGAGCTATGAATCCGGAAGAACTCCCAGATTGCTCATCAGTTCTGAATGGAGTGTGCCATCCCATGCAAAACCAATGAAGAAAACACTCCATGTTCCTAAAGTGGTGCCTCCCACTCATAACCCCCTCAGGAGCCTTTGATACCATAGCTGATAGTATCAAAGGCTGCTGAGAGGTCATGGGAATTAGGATGAATGCACTACACACATCCTAAGTTTACCACAGATAAAAAAGCAAGCATGACCTCCATACTGCACCCCACTCTAAATCCTGGCTTGAAAGTGGTTCATGCCACAATCTTAACCCAGCACGCTACACTGAGCCCTATTTAGTTTTACCAACCAGACTGATGTTATAGATACACTAAACCCCCAAATCGTATAACCAAGGTTATAATTGAGTATACCCCATTAGTGATACCGGGACTTCCACCAAATTAGTTAGGCATGTTGCATGAATGCAGCTTTCCATACCATAATAAATGAATTTTCTCCGAAGTCTCATATGAAAGAGAAAGCATTTAAGGTCACACTTAACACGGATTTTAAAGAATATTCACCTATGATAACTGGAAAATAAAATCTGCATTTCTGGGCTGCCAACTGGCATAAATCTGAACATCTTATATTGAGAAAAGTAAGTAGTGTCATGTTAGTTTAAATAGTTTGAAGATTCTCTGAAGATAACAATAATACTAGCTTTTGTTTGGCTGAATATTATGCAAGCTTATATTACAGGAGCTCTATTGGAAGAAAATTAAATCTTAAAAATATTTATTTTTCCTTTAATATTTTGCTTCCTGAAATTTTCTTGAAATGAACTCTGCCTTTCTGTCCTCTTCAGTCTTCTAATTTTTATTCACATAACTGGAAAACTTTCCCTCTTAACTTGAACGCGCTTTGTTTCTTAGGATCTTAGGACTTTCGTTTCTTAAGATCTGTTTCCTGCCTGACAACATTTAAGCAAAAACAAGAAACCCTTTTTGTAATTTTAGTACAAGATCTCTGACAGCATTCTTTTGGCTAGACTGGGACAAGTGCTTGTTAATCATCAAATGAAAAACCGTAGAAACTATCAGGTACAATAGTCTTTTAGCAGTAAGAATCTGAAAAAAAAAATGAAACTGAAGAAAACATCTTACCTTGGTATGAAAACATTGTTAAGCATATAGTAACCAAGAAAGCTTGGATCATTTTGGATCTTGGATTTGGCTGGTGGACAGGGAAATTCTTTCTGCTTTCCAGCCAACCTGAGTGCTTCTCCTGTTAACTGTGAGAAGCAAGCAGTGAGTGCTCCAGCTTTATTCATGCCGTTACACGAGGAAGTGTTTGCTAAAGGTGTTGCACAACTTCAAAGTTGCAACATTACTACTAGAAGGCAAGGTTCCAGCTGGCTTAGCGCATGTCACTCCAACAATGATACCTGGAAGGGTTCTTTCAAAGCGGGCCCCAAAGCCAAAGCCAAAAGGAGGAGATTAAGTGATCACAGAAGAGCTCTCCCTGGCTGGTATGCTAATACAATTAAATTTGTGCGCTCTTGTGCAAAGGGTTTTAAATGCCAAGAAGACAGCAGCGAGTTGGTTTTTGTAGTATTTTGTGAGTCAGGGGCACTTTTTGAACAATCTAATATCCTTTCAACGTTGCTAGCATTTAGTGCTAGATGGTAATCAGGAAGCTCAAGGAGCGGGCTTGTAGCCTCTGAAAAATGGTGTTATTGGTGGAAAGAATCCATGCCAATGCATCTACCAAAAGGGGGGAAACTTTATGCAATAATAGATTTTTTTTCAGTTTGTAAAAACCCCCAAAACATTTGTTATTCTCTTAGTGTAACACCTCCACAAGCCCCTCTATTTTCTGAAACAAGAGATTTATATGTTGGTCATCCAAATGTCATCTGCAGTAATATACACTCAAAGGGTTTTGAAAGGGAACTAGGAGATGAATCACATAGCAGAGTGAATCATTTCAATTGCCGTAAGAGGAGCCTACTTTTCCCTTATAATCTCTCCTTTTGTCTCCACATGGGATAGACATCTACAACACCAAAATAAAGACAAACAAAGGAGGTAGAACCCACTCTTCTGTTAAAGGTAAAGCAGAAATCTTTGTGAAGCAAAAGGGGGGTGGTAGAGGAAAAACTACTTTTGACTACTTTTTGGCAATTTTAGAGGAAAGAGAAGCCACAACAGAAACAGCAATTTCATTCCAAGAGGACAAAGGCAAAAGAAACTTCTCTTCATATTTTAGAAACAAGGAGGTATGTGAGCCTTTGAAATTCTCTTTGGTGGCCATTTATCATCATCATCAGTCCTCTCTTGCAATGGCACCAAACTAATTAAAATGGCAACAATCGTCTAGGTGAAAAGCTATAGAAGTAGCCTCAAGCCACATCTTATGCTGATTTTAAGATTTCTCTTAGAGAGGAGGATAAATGATAAACCAGTGTTACAGTGTACGCATGTCCCTGCATATATACAACTGCCTTTAATGCTTTTCTTATCTCAATTGGATGCTGGCCTTGAGCTAGAATCTTTAAACTCTTTCCTCGTAATAGTGAACAAGGAGGAAAAACTTTCTATCCATTGCCTTCTTAGAAATGAGCTTATCCAATGAGCTTTCTTGCAGTGAGAACATGGTTCTGTTTTACAGTGATCAAAGAATGAAGAGATTTAAAAAATCCAGAATTCCAGGATTGAGGTTATTCCTCATAGCTACTACCCAACTGAACAACCTCACCACCACAGCCCATTAATTTTTCTTTCTATATTTTGATTCTGAAGAAGAGATTGTCACTCACAAGTCAGTAGACAAGGAAACTTCTAGATCATCACATATTTCTCCGCTATAATAATAGTTGATCATTTCCAGGCAACTCAATTTCTGCCTAAATTATTATTGTGTGATCTGTTTTCCTTTCTCTGGATGTGGCTGCATTTTGCTTTATTGCTTGTAAAATATGCTGTATTTTGACTGCACCATTTATTGATTACAATATTTAGTTTTATTCAGGTTTTATTTGCTAGAGCTAGAATATTTGTCTCTTTCTTTTTTTATGGTCATTGACTATAAAACAGTTTATTGACTGAGAATAACTCAGTTTATTGACTGAGAATAAAATGGCATAAGCCCAACTCTCTGTGTAAATTATTTTTAGTTGTTCACTAAAACAACTATACATGAAAGTTAATCTTTTGACACTTATACCTAACACACTCTCAATTCCCTCCCTTGTCTAAATTTGTTTCCAATTCTTTCTTTAACTCAGTCCAAGTTATTATTTTTCTCCATCTCTTCTTCCAGAATACAAGGCCTTAGGATTCCCCATTTGTTCACTTCTTGCATATGCTACCTCGTTTGGTAAAATCATCATTATCTATTTTTTCTCTCTCCTGCAGACCCTTTTTTGTGTGGTTATAATTCCAGTTTTATTCATCAGATCTGTTTGACTGTCCTGGTTTTATTTCCCTATATTTTCAGTTTTTAATTGACAAACTGCCCAAAGAACTCCAGTTACTGGGTACTTTAAATGGAAGGAAGATGATACCAGAAAACATGAATATTCCCAATGCCATTCACTCACTCACACCTCTACTTAATCTGTATAATTTTAGGTTCCCCAGATAGCAGAAGCTCTGCTATTATATTTTTTAAAAAAATCAAAAAGCCACAAAATATAAATGCTACTTTTCAAAGAGGAAAGGAAACTATAATGCATACATATGCAAAAAAACATATACTGTCCCATGGTATAAGAGTTAAAATGTACAAAATTAAATGGTTAACACCCTAAATATGACTGTCTTTAGGTTAAAAGCAATAGCAACAGCAATAGCACTTGGACTTATATAGCACTTCATAGTGCTTTACAGTCTTCTCTGAGCGATTTACAGAAATAATTGCCCACAACAATTTGGGTCATTTTGCCAGCCTCCAAAGAAGGCTGAGTCAACCTTGAGCCAATCAGGATCAAACTGCTGGCAGTCGACAGTTTGCCTGCAATACTGCATTCTAACCACTGAGCCACCTGGGCTCAAAAAATTGGGTTTGATCACCAATTTCTTAAGATAGATGACCATTTGGGCATTTATTGGATTCTATGAATTGAATTGCCCTCCTCTTGACTGGAAGACCTGATTCATAAAGATATGATGAATCAGTTTCACAAACCCATAATTTTGATGTCACTGTGGCTTGTAAAAGAAAATTGTGCCTACGTCCATTAGTTATTCATAATCACTTCTCATTCATGTCATTTGATGTGTAGCAGGGTGCTCCATCTTCCTTTCCCTAGTGGATACTTTGATAAAAATATGCCAAAAGACAAGGAGATGAGCTGTAGCTTAATGACAATGTTCATTCCAGCATTTTCAAGTAGGCTTTTATTTTAAAAAATTGACGCTCCTCTTAATGTTTCAAATCTGCTGATAACATTGGCATTGCTGAATGATCTATTTTAATCAAAGCCAATTAAACCTATAAAATGAGCTAAAAATTTCCTTCCCACACTTTATCTTGCTCTTTGGAGGGAGACAAATAATCTCTCATAACAGGTATAATTTCTGAGAATAGTTCAGCAATTTTTCTTTTGTCTTTAAATAGTAATATTATATATACATTACAGATGTGTATAATATGTCTATAGAGATTTTTGTTTCAGAATTCTTTTTTTCTTTATTTTTACCAATAGTCCCTTAGACTTCCAGAAATTGATAATAACTAGACATCTCCTAGTTGCTCTAAACTATATAACCAAGGCATATAGATTTTAATTTAGCACCATCTGGAGATCTAAGGGTTACTATCCCTTCTATGAAATCCTATTCCATTAATTGGGACTTGTTGCCAAACTTGCAGCTTCAAGAACCTGATATCAGTAAAATTCAACCATATTTATCCATAATTTAATTCCTAAAACCAGATTTTCTGATTACTTTATGGAATAAACTGTGGAATGAGGTCTTGTCAACCCAACATGGTAGACCAGGCTAAGAAATCAATGTCATATTGGTCAGGACTATTTTAATTGTAGCATCTATTGTAATATAAGCTACAAGTCTGAATGTGGTTTCCTCCTCCCTTGCTTTACCTTTGTCTGAACTAAGGAGGGGCATTTTCTCAAATTATTTTGTTGTCCCAGGCTCAAGCCCCTCTTATCTGACTGTTAACTTGATAGTAGGATTTTTCTTGTGTCCTTCAAAACTATTCCTTATGCACCCTACAGGTCGTCTCTGTTGCCCAAGATTCTAAAAGTACTAAATCTGGGTGAAACCAGGCTTAATAGCAGTAACTGTGAGAGAGATCTTGGAATGTTTGTGAACAACTAATTAAATATGAGCCAGCAGTGTGCAGCGGCAGCCAAAAAAACCAATGCAATCCTAAGTTGCATTAACAAAGGGATACAATCGAGATCAAGTGAGGTACTAATACCACTCTATAAAGCCTTAATAAGACCACACTTAGAGTACTGCATCCACTTTTGGTCACCACTCTATAAAAAAAAGGTTGAGGCTCTAGAAAAAGTACAGAGAAGAGAAACCCGGATGATTAGGGGACTGGAGACTAAAACATGATGAACGGTTGCAGGAACTGGGCCTGGCTAGTCTAGTAAAGAGAAGGACCAGGGGAGACATGATAGTGGTCTTCCAATATTTGAGGGGCTGCCACAGAGAGGAGCGGGTCAAGCTATTTTCCAAAGCACCCGAAGGCCAGACAAGGAATAATGGATGAAAACTGATCAAGGAGAGATTCAAGCTGGAAATAAGGAGAAACTTTCTAACAGTGAGAACAATCAACCAGTGGAACAGAAGTTGCCTTCGGAAGTTGTGGGAGCATCATCACTGGAAGCTTTCAAAAAGAGACTGGACTGCCATCTGTCAGAAATGGCATAGGGTCTCCTGCTTGGGCGGGGGATTGGACTAGATGACCTACAAGGTCCCTGCCAACTCTGTTAATCTGTATCTGCTGTCACACTGGTATTCCATCAGTTCCCTGAGTTGTTCATAGTTTATGACAATGTAAAAAAGAATTACCCAACACCATAACATACTATTCACCGAATGATGCAATTTCCAATAGCAGTCAGACCCGATTCCTGTTCTATTGAGTGTAACAAGCTGAAGAGTTTGTGTGTAAATAGACAGAACTGGTATCTTTATTGCTCAGACTGCTCATCTCTTTAAATGCTTGTGGTCATTCTCTAGTTTTTGAATTAAGAAATGTAGTATGTATGAGCAGCAGGTGTCCATAGATCCCTTGATGCTTACTATCTTAATAA